AAATTAAATCCTAAATGGACTGCTGACCTAAATGTGAAGGTTTAAATAATTTAGCTTTCTGAGGGAAACATAGGAGAACATCTTTTTGACTTGATAGTAAGCCAAGGTTTCTTAAACCGATTTTAACAGGATTAGATATAAACTAAAAATTGATGAACTGGACTATATTAAAATAAAAAAAACTTATGTTCAGTGAAAGATAGTACTAAATGAATTAAAAGGCAAGTTTCAGATTAAAAAGAGTATTTGCAGTATATAGGTCCAGCAAAGGACTAGCATCCAGAATATATGAAGACTTCCTGTTAGCACAGGTTTAGGATATCCTTTACTGAGGCTTGCTTATCCCTACTCATTAGAATGACCCTGTGGGGTTCTTTCCTGAATGCCTTTTGCTTTCAACAGAGATTCTCATCTTTAGTTCACAATTTAAATGTCTCCAGTGCTGTGAACTGTTTTTCTAGTTGTTATCTGCCTGCCTTATTTAGCTTCATACTATGCATATGCAACAAAATATTACCCATAGACTCAAAAGAATTCTTATGTAGATTTCTGTAGCTCTTTCTCTTTGTAGCTTCTCCTCTCTGGGTACTGTACTTCACAAATTCTAGCCATTTCAACCTTCCAAAATTCTAATCTCTTTTCTTTTTAAAAATACGTTTTAATTTATGAGAGAGAGAAGGAAAGAGAGAGAGAGAGAGAGAGAGAGAGAGAGAGAGAGAGAGAGAGAAACGTGTGTGAGAGAGAGAGAAACGTGTGAGAGAGAAACATCAACCAGTTGTCTTCTTTATGCACCCTAACCAAGGATGGAACCACAAGCTGGTTATGTGCTCCGACCAGGGGAATTGAACCGGTGACCTTTCTGTGCACAGGACAGTGATCAAACAACTGAGCCATACTGGCCAGGGCTCCAATCTCCTTTCTTTCAACTTATCACAGTGTGGCCCCTTTCTCCCTGCATCATGGTATGAAGATTGTCTCCTGGCAGAAGTATGGGCTGACATTTTAGGGTTCTCTTGTTAATGGAACCCCAATGTTTTCCCTTGGTTCTACCTGCTTTGACGTGCTGGCCCAAAGAAATGCACAAACAGGAGTTTGCAGTATAGAAAGAAAAAAAGTAGTTTAATATTGAATTGGTCAATATGGAGATGGAGAGTTAGTACTCTAACCCAACTCCCCAGTGGCATGTAGATTACATGTTATATGGGCAAAAATCAAGAGACAGTGGGTTGGATTTGTGTAATAGATCATTTCTTCAGGTCTTTGCCAGCATCGCTCTGTCCAGTTGTTAGTGGGGCAAATAGGAAATGCATTTCAAAGATACATGCAGAAGATGATGAGGTATAGTGGCAAGATTTATTAGAGCAAAAACAGTGGACTGCCCCCAGGTTCCTGATGTCTCATCCATGGCCAGGTGGCTCAGCTCACTTTTGCTGCAGAAGAAGTCCAGCCTCTGGGACTGCACCAAAACCAGGAAGAGGCCAGAAGCCAGAACTGCCTTGCCATTAGCCTCACTTCCTATCTCTAGTAGTTCAGCCCAGTCTCTGTTCCCATCTCTCCAGCTTTCGGTACTGTGCATCCTCCTCCTACTTGGCTGCCATACCCAGGCCCCTGTGGCTGCTATGGAGAGAAATGGAGAGTCCCTCGAGCCTTTGTTAAGCTTTGATTATATTACATTGGCCTTAGGAGAGAGTAGGTTTTCTTTCAAACTATCTAATCTCTTTCCTTTTTCTTCCCAAGCTTGTGCTGGGCCTTCCCCCTATCTAATCTCTTTCCTGAATCTTCTGGGGTTCCATGCCCTCATCCTATCTGACCTTTTTTTTCAGGCTAACCTCCTCCCCTTTTTGATTCCTATTTTGGCTTCTACTGTGCATGCCTCAAAGCTCTGTTTGTCATCTGACTTGTACTGCCCATAAACTTAGTGGAAGGCCTCCCCCTGCCCATCTTGACTTCTACTGTGCATATGCCCAGAAAAGGAATTTCCCCCCTGGCTGGTTCCACTCCCCAGCTCCTAGTTTGCAGGACCAGATTGGTTGTTTCCTGGGGAGATTGGAAAGCTGTTCACTCCTCCCTGCTTCTGCATACTCAGGGATTAGTCCCTTTGGCAGAGGATGTGACTGTCCCCTGGGGTGTCTGTGAAGCTGTAGCTTCCTAGTTAATCCCATTAATTAGATGTCTAGCTCCATTCTCTTTTGTTAATACCTAGCTAGCTACCTATGCTAAACAGTCTTATGGGAAAGTAGCCAGGGGGTTATTCCACCTTAGGGCTCAGGAATTGAGACATAATTTAAGATGTTCATTCTAGCCTGCTAGAGGTCTGGACCATGTGACCCTTAGTCATATCCGGGTTTACTCTCTTCTGCTGCCTCAGGAGTTGCTGATTATCTGGGCAAACGTCTGGGTGGGTGGGGGATAATTGCTAGAGCTAGGATTTAAAATTTCATCAGTTATAAGGACCCTCAGTTGCAGTCTTTGTTGATTTTGTATCCCACAGAGATCATAGTTCTTTGCTGCTTATTGTCCAGCATTTAAAAATAGTCATTTCATATAATTTGTCCAGTAAGTAGTAGATTCTGAATTGTGGTCCTCAGACTCAACAGAGTAGTAGAATAATTTGAAACCTCAGATTAGTGGGTTGTTTGTAGATAGGCAGTATTCATCTGGCTCAGGAGTGCCTGGGCACTGACTCTGTCAGCCCTTCCTCCAAATACCCAGTATGATGTGATTTCTTGAAACTTAGTTTGACTTAAGAATAAGTGGCCCCTAGTGTTTATAAATACTTTTTATTAAAAGTAGGGATTGTGTGCGTTCTTCCTAAAAAAGAATAAGCTGTAAGTATAAAATAAAGAAGCAAGAAATAACATTACCCAACAACTGTAGCCCTTTGTTCTGCTGGGTTAGTGATTTGAGAGCCAAGGAAAACTAAATTGAGATGAGCTACATCTTCTTTTTCTTTGGGGGGCCATCTTGCTTCAGTTTGTTCCATGTTCTTAGCTAAACAAAGTAGGAACCTAATCCAAACTCGATTTGATTATATTTTCTGTATTTCTCTTTTTTACCTCTTCTCATTTGAAAATTTTATATTTGTTTTTCATTCTTTAAGTGATTTTTCTTGAAATTATAGCATACACCATTTATTTGACAAAGTCTGAAGTTCATAACTACCTCTATCCTGGTACAACAATGAATGCAAAGATTTTTAAATGCTTTAACTCTGATCCTTTCCACGTTCTTATATTATTTTGTTGTTCAGAACTTCAGTTCTACCTTATTTTATCTCTACCTTCACTTCAATGTTGTCATGATTGCTTTCAATAATAATGTTTGTTTAATTACATGTATACATTTACAAACGTATTTCATCATCATTGCCTATTTTGTTTCATTCATTGCTTTCGAGTTTTTTTTTCTTAAATTATATTTTTAATAGCTCTTTCATCTATGATGCATGAATAGTAATCCTTGGAATGTGGAAAATATTACTTATTTTCCTTCTAGCTTGTCTTGTTTGTGTGAAGTCTGTTGTCATTCCAAAATTCTTTAGTTGTTAATTGATTGTTGTTTGCAATTCAGTGCGTTTTAAAATTGTCTCTTTTTCAGTTTCACTGTTTCTAAGTGTGATTAGTTTTATGTATTCTGTTTGCATTTTTTAATATTTTCTTCATCTGTTTATTCAGACTTTTACTCAGTTCTCAATTTTTAGTTGTAATATTTTCGAATATTATCTCCCCATCCCCAGATCTTCTCAGATATCTCAGAAATTAGGTGTTTTCTGGACTTCTCATTCCAACATACTTTCTGTTGTTACTGTTTTTCTCTTCTTTGTTTCTTTGTGTGGTCTTTGATTTTACCAGTTTTCATTAGCTTTATCTGTGTGCTATTTAACTCATCCACTGAGTTTTAAATTTCAATTGTGTTATTAATAAATTTACTTTATTTAGCATTTCTATATATACAGGTATGTAGATTTATTTTTTATTTGTCTTCTTTTGTTCCATAAATCCCTTTTCTTTTTAATATGCTTGTCACCTCTTTTTCTTTTTTTCAATATTTTAAAAACTCTAATATAAATAATAAATCATTTCTAATTGCTCTATTATATCTGTTTTCTTGTGCGTTTGCCGATTTTAGCAGTGGTGATATGTAGACTGTCATTCATGGCTTTGAATTTATTTATATGGTTATTCTTATCTGTAAACTTGACTTGTTTGAAAATTATTTTTTGTGGTGGTGTTTCTCCTTTCCTTTCTTTCAATTGTGTAAGCCTGTCTGTATTAGATGATTGTGAACTCTCCAGTGTACATTGGCCATAAATCTGTTTTTACATTATTATTGATTTGTCAGGTCTCTGCAAATATATATATGACCCAAATTTGAGACTTAAGATTCTGATATCATATAGTTCACTCTGTCCTGCCCTCACACTGGAACAGGAAGCCTCTTTTCAATAGAACTCTAACCAGACAAGCTCTGGTATTCAGGATTTTATTCAGCAATATTTTGTCTTCCAGCTTTCTATAGTTAGCCCATGTTTATCTATCAGTCATGAAGGGCCTTGTGCATAAGCTTCCATCCCCACTGAGGTCTCAAGGTCTGAGGCTTCCATGGGCAGTACTTGATCCAGCTCTCTCATGATGGAACGTCAATTCCATTTTACTGGTAAGGGTTCTTTATCTTAGCATCTAGAGATTTACTATCTTTGCTTTAAGAGGCATAAATTAACATTTTTATAATGTTATACATAGCATACTGAGTGTTGGAAGTGGTCAGATAACTCAATATATGATTTTAAAAAATCATATAGTCTATTTTTTAAGTATTTAACATTTTTAAAAATTTCAGGTCCTCATTAAATACTATTTTAATTGTTAAAATTTGTTAATGTTAATATATTTTTGCTTTTATTTTACTTCAGTTTAGTTCATATATTTTTAAATAGCCTGCTGCCTTTATTTGTTTGTTACATTATTCACTTAAATAATTACTTATGTTAATTTTCATAGGATGAATCTTCAGGAAGAATTGGATAAACTTAAAGTGCATATGTCTATTGACAAAGCAACAATACAAGAATTGAATACATGGATAGCAGAGAAAAAAGAAGGTAAATTTTTTTGTGAGAATAAATACTTAATGTAGGCATTTTAAAATTTCTAGTTCATGATGTTTTATTTCCAATTTCGTCTAAGAATCTTACATTTTCCCCCTTTTCCCATGGCTTTACTGGTTGGTGTCTCATTAACATCACTTCTCATTAGAAAATGAAATAGAACACCTAAAAGTCAGTAAGCTTTTAATTTATTAAAAGTTCAAGTAAGATGTTTTATAAGGAGAAAACATAATTTGTTTTTATTAGTCATTGCTAAAGTTTTATTTTATGTTTTGTTTAAAGTTTTATAGATAATATAGAGTTACTCTACTCAATATCATTATTTTTGTTTGACATACTTTTTTTTGGAAATTGTTTAGTTCTTTTGTCTAGAATCAAAATTTTAGAGTTGGAATGAAACTGGGGTATCTGCAATTCTGTAACCAGCCTGCCTAATAGCCTAAATGTGTTTTGTAAGAAGGAATGTATCCTTTCCAATGCAAATTTATTCCTTTGTTAAAATCAAGATAACTATATTTATTAAAGACTTCAATCCATGTTTTAGTACCTTATTAGAAAAAAAGTAAATAAGGTTGATTTTACAAAATTTCTTCTTATTTAAGCTTGTTACAGCTTAATTGTTATCAGTATATGTTTTAGGGTTGACAGTGTATACTCACTAATTTATACTTAATAATTAAATTTTCATGTACCATTATCAGGCTATTGCACCAATTATTGTTGTTCCAATTGCTCTCACCAGTGACTTGTCAGGCTTAATATTTGAACCCCTTTATTTCACACCATTGATTTATATCATATTTCAAGCTTACTTTTTCACTGATTTCTGAAACATTGGTTTTCCCCTGTTTTACCTTCTACTTTTCTTTCCTGTATCTTTTCAGTCTTCTACTAGAACTTATTTATATTTTTTCCCTTAACTATTGGTGTTCTCTAATACTTTAACTTTGATTTACTTCCTAAAAATAATACCTCTGTTGTTTTTGGAAAAATTACACATTTTTTTAAAAAAAATTATACATATTTAAAAGCATTCAAGCAAAGAGAAAGTATAAAAAGAAAAAAAAGACAAAGAAAAAAACTAATTCACAAACACTTAAAAATCAGAATTTCAGTATTAAATAACTAGAGGCCCAGTACACAAATTTGGGCATGGGTAGGGTCCGGGCCACCACCCTGATGGGGACCCAGATCAGGCTGGTTAGCTGCTGCAGTGCACATCATAGCCATTAGTCATTCTGGTCGTTCTGGTTGTTCTGTTGTTCTGGTCGCTGGGTTTTAGATATAGAGATTATCAAATCAAAAAATCTCTTCATACTAATATAGAAATAAGTTTAGATAGAGAAATTACATAAAATGAATCATAATATATGCTCTTTTTAAGAAAAGATATTTGCATATATTTTATTTTGGATCAATCAAATAAAAGTAAAGGAACTGTTATTGAACTTTAGATAAATCTTTGAAAAACATGTAATAAAACACTTGAATATGGAAAATACATTATTTAAAACTAGAGGCCCAGTGCACAGATTCGTGCACTGGTGGGGTTCCTCAGCCTGGCCTGTATTCTCTCGCATTCTGGGACCCCTCAGGGGATGTCAGATGGCCTGTTTTGGCCTGATCCCCACAGGCCAGGCCAAATGTTACTTCAAATGAAATGGATTAAATGTTCCAATCAAGAGACATGCAGGGACTGAATGGATAATATAAAAAGACCCTTACATATGCTGTCTGCAAGAGACTCATTTCAGATCAAAAGACATGCACAGATTGAAAGGAATTGGAAAAATATATTTCATTGGTCTCTGCTAACTCTGGGCAGTTAGTAACAGAATTGAATTGAATTAAAATGTAGGATATTGCAATACATTTCTTTAACATTTCTTGCAATACCAGTTTGGTAGTGATCAACTCCTTTAGCTATTTTTTGGCTGGGAAGCTCTTTAATCTGTCCTTCAATTCAAAATTATAGCCTTGTTGGATAGAGTAGTCTTGGTTTTAGGTCAGGGGTGGGCAAACTTTTTGACTCGAGGGCCACAATGGGTTCTTAAACTGGACCGGAGGGCCAGAACAAAAGCATGGATGGAGTGTTTGTGTGAACTAATATAAATTCAAAGTAAACATCATTACATAAAAGGGTATGGTCTTTTTTTTTTTTTTTTAGTTTTATTCATTTCAAACGGGCCGTAGTTTGCCCACGGCTGTTTTAGGTGCTTCCTTTATATCACTTCGAATATTTCGTGCCAATTTCTTCTGGCCTGCAAAGTTTCTACTGAGAATTTATCGGACAGTCTTATGGGAGTTCCCTTGTAGGTAACTAACATTTTTTTCTCTTGCTGTTTTTAAGATTCTCTCTTTATCTTTAACCTTTGACATTTTAATTACAATGTGTTTTTGTGTGGGATCATCTTTTATAGGATTCTCTGAGCTTCCTGAATTTATATGTCTATTTCTTTCACCAGGCTAGGGAAGTTTTCCATCATTATTTTTTCAAATAGGCTTTCAAACCCTTGGTCTCTCTTTTCTCTTCTGGTACCCCATGGTGTGAATGTTAGTACACTTGAAGTTGTCCCAGCAGGTACTGTCCTCATTTTTTTGGATTCTTCTTTTCTTTTGCTGGTCTGATTGGATGTTTTTTGCTTCCTTACTTCCATATCACAGATTTGATTTTCTGCTTCATCTACTATTGATTCCCGGTAATGTATTCTTCATTTCATTTATTGTATTCTTGATTTCTGACTGGTTCTTTTTTATGTTTTCTATGTTCATTTTATGTTTTCTATCTTTTTGTTGAAGTCCTTACTTAGTTTCTCTATACTTCCACTAAGTTGAATATTAAAGCATCTTTGTAACCAGTGATTTGAATTCTGCATCTGGTAGATTGCCTGTCTCTATTTTATTTAGTTCTTTGTCTGGAATTTTGTCCTGTTCTTTTTTCTTTTTTTTTTTAAATATATTTTATTGATTTTTTACAGAGAGGAAGGGAAGAGGGATAGAGAGTTAGAAACATCGATGAGTGAGAAACATCGATCAGCTGCCTCCTGCACACCCCCTACTGGGGATGTGCCCGCAACCAAGGTACATGCCCTTGACTGGAATCGAACCTGGGACCCTTCAGTCCGCAGGCCGACGCTCTATCCACTGAGCCAAACCAGTTAGGGCGGCCTGTTCTTTATTTGGGACATGCTTCTTTGTCTCCTCACTTTGGCTGCCTCCCTGTATTTGTTGCTATGTACTGAGTAGAGCTGTTATGTCTCTCAGCCTTGGTAGAGTGGCCTTATGTAGTAGGTGTTCTGAAGGGCCTCCTTGGTAACCTGAGCTGAGTGTTCCAGTTGTGCCCCTTGAGTGGGCTGTGTACATCTTCCTGTTGTAGTTAGCCTTGATTGCTGTTGACACATCAATAGGAGGGATTTACCCCAATCTGGTGGACTATGAGGACACTCTTGACTATAGTGGAGGAGCTGCTTTGCAGGGGTCAACCCCACAGAGAAGGACTCGCTTCAGTGGGGCTCTGGTGCCTGATGAGTTTTCCCCTTGAGTGTGTCGCTTGTGGAAGTAGTTGTGGAAGTACTTTGATGTGATCTGAAACTAATCACCAGGTTCACTAGGCTCTGAGGCCTTTAAGGAGGTGCAGGTAAATGTCAGCTGCCACCTGTGCCCTGCCTGGGGAAAGGCAGCATGAGCTACAGAGCTATCTGCAGAGGGCTGCTACTTGGGCTAAGCTTGCAAAGGCCAACCTGTGTATCAAAGATGGTTGCCACTAATGCTGCTCCTAGGACCACTTAGCATGAGGTATGGGGCGTGTCAAGGCCAGATGTTGCTTGTTTGGGGCTTGTGAACCTTCCAGAAATTTTAGGACAGTTGCAGTATGAGCCAAGACAGGCCAGTTATATGGAAAAGCCACTGGAAACAGCCTGGGTGGGCCTGGCATGAAGGTTGGGGAGGAGACAGGTATTTCAGGAAATCACCAGGGCAGAGTGAACAATGTTAGCCTGGTTGTTGGAAACTCAGATATAGTGCTCTTTAGCCAGCTCTGTGGGGAGAGGGCTTAGAGAGGAACAATCGCCTCTGCCAGCACTTCTGTCTGGGAGAAAGCTGCCCCTTCAGCTGTTTCCCCAAAGCCAGACAGCTCAGTTCCTGGAACCCAGTATATCCCTGGTACCTTTCGAGCTGCTGCCCCAGCGCTGGAGCTCAGAGCAGTGAGTCCCAGTATGTCTGTACGTGGGTGCTTTAAGAGCAATCCCTTGCACTCAGCCACAATCCCCTCTGATTTCACAGCCAGAAGTTATGGGGACTTCTCTTCCTGGCACTGGAACCCTGGTATGGGGGGGTTTGGTGTGGGCTCTGACACCTTGCTCATTGGGAGAACCTCTGCAGCTGAGATATCCCTCCTCATTTTTAATCACCACACAGGGTGTGGGACCAGCCCATTCTGAGTCTCTGAGCCCCTCCTATGAGTCTCGATGTAGCTTCTTCTTTATATATTTAGTTTAGGACTTCTGTGTAGCTAGACTTGAGGCAGTTCTGAATGATGGTTGGTCTGTAGTTTAGTTGTAATTTTATGTGGTTGTAGGAGGATGCAAGTAACACATTTACCACCATCTTGACCAGATCAATTTAAATTAATTTTTAATGTAATCCAAAAGAATTAAGAGAAAAGAAAAAAAAACACATAGAAGCTAGAATAAAATAAATTTAAACAACTCTGAATAAGCAAATCTAAAAGTTAAAAACAAAGAAAGTGGAGCAAGATGGATCTCCTTAAAAATTCTTTTCAATCAGAATGTGTTTTTATAGTAGTAATAATAAAAGGAAAACATATAGAATGAAATTTTAAAAATAAGTCTCCAGTAAGGTGATTTCCACTGTAGGAGAAAGAATTGAAGTATATATTTCTAACTACTCCTCTTTGTTCATTTTCCAAATCATGAGATTCTTGACAGGAAAAAGAATCAAGGGGCAAAGTGTTGGTTTCTTGCTTATCTCCATGCCTTGGGCTTAGCTACTTGAGTATCCTATCTAATAAAAGAGAAACATGGTAATTAGCCATACCTCCGCTACCCTTCCCATTGGCTAATCAGGGTGATATGCAAATTAACTGCCAGCCAAGATGGCGGCCGGCAGCCAGGCAGCTTGAAACTAACATGAGGCTTACTTGCTTCAGTGACAGAGGAATCCAACGTTCCCCGCCTGCCTTGCCGGCCTCTGAGCCTGCAGTTTGAACATTGTAACAAATATAGAAGCTAAACAAAACCCCAGAAACCTGCTTTCAGTGAGCCGGGATCTCAGAGCTGGAGTTGATACAGAGTTTCGATTATAGAACCTAAACAAACCAGATACCTACTTTCAGCAGCTGACGCCTCAGAGCTGGAGCCAAGCCTCAGAGCTAAAGCTGGCCCAGAATAAAAAAATAAAAAAAAATAAAAAAGGAGTGGTTGGGAGCTTCAGTCCCAGCCTGAAAACAGCCCTCAGCCCCTCACCCAGACTGGCCAGGCACCCCAGTGGGGACCCCCACCATGAAGGGTGTGTGACCAGCTCTAAACAGCCATCATCCCCTCATCCAGGCTGGCCAGGCACCCCAGTGGGGACCCCCACCCTGAAGGGTGTGTGACCAGCTACAAACAGCCCTCAGCCCCTCACCCAGGCTGGCCAGGCACCCCAGTGGGGACCCCCACCCTGATCCAGGACACCCTTCAGGGAAAACCAGCCAGCCCCACCCATGCACCAGGCCTCTGTCCTATATAGTAAAAGGGTAATATGCCTCCCAGCACCAGGATCAGTGGAGCCGCGAGGCCTCCTGGCACCAGGATCAGTGTGACAGGGGGCAGCGTCCAAACCCCCTGATCGCCTTTCGGCTCTGTGTGTGACGGGGTGGGGCCACAACCTCCCTATCCGCCCTGCTCTGTTCGTGACAGGGGAAGGCGCCCCAACCCCTGATCAGCCCTGCTCTGTGCCTGATAGGGGGGAGCTCCCCAACCCCCTGATCGCCCTGCGGCTCTGTGTGTGACAGGGTGCGGCGCCCCAACTCCCCCCCCCACAGGCCCTGCTCTGTGTGTGACGGGGTAGAGCCACAACCTCCCCATCGGCCCTGCCCTGAGTGTAACAGTGGCGACATCCCAACCCCCTGATCGGCCCTGCTCTGTGGGTGATAGAGGGCGATGCCCCAACTGCCCCCCACGGGCCCTGCTCTGTGTGTGACGGGTAGAGCCATAACCTCCCCATCAGCCCTGCCCTGAGTGTGACAGGCTGTGGCACCCCAACCCCCTGATCCGCCCTGCTCTGTGTGTGACGGGTAGAGCCATAACCTCCCCATCAGCCCTGCCCTGAGTGTGACAGGCTGTGGCACCCCAACCCCCTGATCCGCCCTGCTCTGTGTGTGTGACGGGGCGGTGCCCCAACTCCCCTATCGGCCCTACTCTGTGATTGACAGGGGGGAGCTCCCCAACCCCCTGATTGACCCTGATCTGTGCGTGACAGGGGGAGCTCCCTAACCCCCTGATGGGCCCTGCTCTGTGCATGACAGCGGGGAGCTCCCCAACACCCTGATCGACCCTGTTCTGTGCGTGACAGGGTATGGAGCCCCAACTCCCCTGATGGGCCCTGCTCTGTGAGTGACAGGGGACAGCGCCCCAAACCCCCTGATTGGCCCTGCTCTGTGCATGACAGCGGTGGTGCCGCAACCTCCCCATCGACCCTGCCTTGAGTGTGACAGGGGGCAGTGCCCCAACCCCCCAATCAGCCCTACCGTGAGCGTGACTGAGGGTGGCATCGCAACCTCCCGATCCGCCCTGCTCTGTGCATGACAGGGGCGGCGCCCCAACTCCCCAATCGGCCCTGCTCTGAGCCCGACCAGGGGCTGCACCTAGGGATTGGGCCTGCCCTCTGCCACCCGGGAGCAGGCCTAAGCCAGCAGGTCGTTATCTCCCGAGGTGTCCCAGACTGCAAGAGGGCACAGGCCGGGCTGAGGGAGCCCCCCTTCCCCTCGAGTGCACAAATTTTTGTGCACCGGGCCTCTAGTTCTTTATAAAACCTATGAATGCGAGAAATAAACTTTTTAGCAGAGAACAATAAGTGAACACGGTCAGCCAGACCACCAGTGGGCTTGCTCATACCGAGGAGCATATAGGAGCAACCAAATTTATTTTTAAGTCAATCATCAGCCTTGATTTTAATGGAGTTATTTAATCATTGTGAGTACTCTATGTTCTTTGAGTATGGAACTATTTTCTTTATATTCTTGAGAGTAAATATCACACTTAGAACTTTAGCAGATATTTAAATGACTAGAACAGATGAATAGTATTTGCATATTATTTTTATATTCCTGAAAGAGTGTTGTAAATGAATTCAGCACCATGGTGTTAGGGGACTAGAAAAAGAAACTTGGGAACTAATAGATTATTATCAAGGTAAAGGTACATATTCCCCAGATGAAAAATTCTACCTATTCTAGCTTTTATTTTCCTTAGGATAGTGTTCTATTTATTTCATAAGTACTGAAGTTTTAATTGGATATGTCATGTTTCAAAGACAAAAGAAATGCCTAATTCACTCTAACAAACTTGTTAGTCACTGTTTATACCAAGAGGATTTCTACTCTATAGAGAATAATATTGTTTTCTTTTTCCTTTGTTGATAAATCAAAGTTTTACACTGACCTGCAGCAGCCATGCAGACTTTAAAGCAAAATCATTTCAGTCTAACACAGATATGTATATCCTTTTAGTTTTATATATTCTTTTTCTGTCCCCTTTTTTATTCTTTATGAAATATTTCATCCCAAAAATAGTTCAGTAAGAAAATATTAGTTAAAGTTGTTATAGTCATTTATCATATAACAAAAATTTATTGATAGGTTTTAATGCATTTCAATTTTAATAATATTAACTGAAGTTTTATGATTTTTATTAAAGTTACCATGTTACTTATGTATTTTTGTTGATTGAAAAGGTTTCACAGTCAAATGCATAGTGAGTATAGGAATGATTTCTAGAAATAACTTAGTCGAATACCTGGATTTTTATTTGTTACAAAGTCATAGTTTTTCTGTAAATGTGATATTTATAATTTACTCTGCCCAATGCATGATCTTTTACTTGGAAAAAAGGGGGTGATAGAGTATGTTACAGTTTTAGTACACCCTAATTCTGTTACTATTTGCTTTGTTCAACAATCACTCTGATCCTCCTGGCAGGGAACAAGATCCAGAGAACAAAACAGTAGTGACTTGTGTAGATAAAAAGACCATGAATTCCGCTTTTAAGGCAAAGGGGGAATAGTCTACAATAGAATAAAAATCGGAATAAAAGTATAGCATTGTTAACCTGCAGATCTGTTGTACCTTTGAAAATCTTATACTGCAAAAAAAAAAAAAAAAGACACTAGAAAGATACATAATTATGTTACTGAAAATCTTAAGATCAGCATTTATTTATTGGCCATATACTTGACAATGAACTAGACTATTCCTAATTGAAAAACTGTAGAACTCTTTTCCTTAAAATTACAGGACAGTGTTTTAGTAGTGAATAAGGTGCCATAATGTATTATTTATTCTCTACCAGAACAACTCTTTAGACATGGTGAAGATGATGGGGTCAAGAAGAGTACTCCAGAGAAGAATGGGAAAGAAATGTCAGAGCAGACATTACAGAAGGTAGTCTAATCTTTAAGATATTGAACTGAGCAAGTTAAATCTGAATTTTAACATAAAGGATTATATTTTAAAATGTGGGTGCATGAACTTAAACCTAGTGTGAATCCTTAATTTAAATTCATAATTCAAAATTATTGACTTGCCAAAATGGGGTAAAAAAAATCAATGTTAGTGAAATAAATGTGTAAACACTTATGCTTCTTTTGACATAGATTAAAAATATTTGTGAAGGTGAAATGAGAATGACAACAATAGAAATTATAAAAATTTTCACTATGTGTTTATTAGTTATAACTGAGCAGTTTTACTTTAAAATGGGACTATGAGACTCTGTTATTCACTTCAGCAAGCATAGAGACTTACAATATTTGTACTAAAAATATGAGACACTTAGCTTCAGCACAGTAAAATGATAATATATTTATAAACTTGGAAATATAATGACTCAGCTCATTTTGGATGAAAATTTATATCCATATCATTTAGTATAGTTATTCCTATTTTAATAGAACCATCTGTGTAAATAAACCCTGTAGTTACTTTACATAGTACCTATCATTAATAGTAAAATCTTATTTAAACATCTTAACATTTATCTTTACAGTTTTACACTTAATTTATATGTTTGTGTATAAATACATTTTTATCAAGTTAAATTAAGTGGGATTGGTTACATTTTAGCAGTTTTATTATTGTTACAAAGAAAATGTTCTTTGTTCTTTAAATAGGTTTATTCTTCTAACTGATTGTCACTTGGCTACATAATACTTAGGTAAAACTGACATATCAACAAAAATATTAATGTGGCTACCTACATTTCTTACATCTGTGAATTGACTTGTAGGAAACCTAGTGATTTACAGCAGATGATGGATTTATTATATTGTACTTCTAATACTTGCCATACAATTAGGTAACAAAGGCTGTAATTTCACTATTACTGAATGACCATTACTAGGTTAACATAATAATAAAGAACAGGAAGTGCTCACATTTATTTAGCTTAAGGTAAAATGAATAATTGAAATAATGTATACACTACCAGTTAGAATGCTATACACTTTATCCTAGCTTACCTTCTTTCTTTCAAAACAGCATTTTTTGTTTTCCAGGTTTTGTATAATTTTTATCTCTATGGATATATAATATTATGCTACTATTTACTGCTTTGGGGTAGAAACCCTAAAGTAATCCATAATTTCATTCCAACTATTATAAATAACTACTAATGTTGTGATTTCAGAAATCTATTTAAATACTAAAATGCCACCGCGCCCGGCTAGCTCAGTCGGTAGAGCATGAGACCCTTAAATACTAAAATGCCAACAGGAATTATTTTCGTTGGACCATATGTCAAATTAACATACGAATTTGTCACTTTTTTCTATATTAACCTAATGCAATTGTCTAAGTCATGATTTATCCCCTTTTAGTTGAGTTACCTTATTTTAAAAGGATGTACTTTGTGGGTGGTCTCAAATTATTTCAAACTGAAATCAATTAAAGCCCAACAAACTCAGGAAGAGTGTTTTTGTTTGTTTTGTTTTATTTTTCTTTTAACTCCCTCTTTTCTTCTTAGAGATTCAGATAGAAAAAAACTGCTTCAGGAAGGGATCCCTAGCATAATCACCTGAGCATATTCACTTTAGCACATATGAATTATGATAGTCAGGAGGGAACCATGCAAATATCTGTTCACTAAATTTCCCTCTGTCCCATTTTTTCTGAGTGCCTATCAATAATTTTTTTGTCACTGTCTCAGCTACCTATGAGTTTGCCTATTTCTCCTTTGAAATATCAAGCTCCCTCCCTTTCTCCTTTGTCCAAAATGACACATATACCTCATTTTGCCACATCTTCATAATTTTCACACATATGAATTCCGCATGCACACGTATTAAAATTTTATTTTCTCCTGTTGATATGTGTCTGTTAGTTTGATTATTAGCCCAGCTAGAAGCACTTAGAAAGTGGGAGGAAAATTATTTTTTAATGCCCCACAAACCATATGAAACTTATTCAAAATGGATTTAAAAGATTGTAACAACATGAAAACAATATTTGTGGGCAATAGAAATGAAACTATAACTAGATTATTTTAAAATAATATATGAACATCACACACTGTTATGGAATGAATTGTGTCTCTACCCTCCCTACCCCCCACATCTTTATGTCAAAGTCCTAATTCCTAGTATCTCAGAATATGTCTGAATTTGGAGATGGGGGTCTTCAATGAGTTAAGTCAAAAGGAGGTTATTAGGATTTAAACTACCCAGTCTGTAGTACTTTGTCATGGCACTCCTAGTAAGTATATAATACATACACATTACAAAGTGATGTGTTTTATTTGTTTTGAAAGGAGCCATCTTTTTGGTAAATTTTAAAAATTTTTCAGTATTGGAGGAAAAGTATGGAGTTGGTTGATTTATAGCACACAAACCAAATGCCTTTTAACAATTCCTCAGACTTCCATTCTCAAAAATTATTGAAATTTTCCTTTTCCATTTTTGGAGGTTTTAAAATAAGTTGAAGAACAATTTTTGAGAGTATACCTTGAATAACATAAGCATGCTATGGACTTTCCCCTTCAAAGTCTTTGGAAGTAGTTTCTTGTGTTTTGTTATTTGGCCTCCATTTTAAATGTAAATACAAATAAATTTGGCCAGTTCTTGTGATTAGACATTGATTCATATTAGAGAGTCAACACACTTTAAACATAATAGACTTTGACAGACATTTTTCCATCAGTATATAAAATTTTTATGAGTTGTACTCACACTTAAATGGATTTTAGTTAAAAGAAAAAAATCATGCTAATCTTCAGAATTGCAACCTCAAATTTAAGATGTTTATTTGTTACACTATATTTTAATCAAAAGTATAAAGTTGGTTTAATGCCTAATTCAGCAATATTCGGTATAAATAATTTTATTTCAGCTCAAGTAATTTTCTAAAATAACTGTAAGAATGAATAATTGAGATAATGACAATGATGATGATGTGTTAAGCTATAAAACTTACTGTCTGCCAAAACTTGTGGTATATGGTCATACAATAACTAGTGGTCCAATGCACAAATTTGTACACCAGTAGGGTCCCTGACTCCAGTTCTTTGTTCATTTTCCATATATAGGGTGGGACAAAAGCATGGAAAATAATGCAATAGTTAATAATAATATAAGAATAAACTCTGTTTCACATACAACTATAAATTGTATAGTTGACCCACCCCATATATCTGTAACTCTTCTTCCCCTATATGGTTTGTATAACAGTGGGAGGGGCAACAATCCTGAATTTGAAATCCAGATTAAACTAGGAAATATTTACCTTTATGTGGTACTTCACTTTTCAGAGCCTCCATTTCCTCTTCTGGGAAGTTGGTTCTCTTTATCTCACATGGTGAGATAATCAGAAGAGGTCTTTTATAAATGATAATTACTTTCCAAACAATAGTGATTATTTTTCAAGATTTAAATTGAAATCAACTCCTCATTGGAACTCATTGCTTAGAATTAATTCCTCTTTCTTTTTACTCAAACTTATGGCACTTAGATCCTATCCTTTATTAGGTTTATTTATGCAAGTGTCTTTCCAAATAGTTTTTGAAATTTTTTAATGTCAGGATGTTGTCATTTTTGTGTCCTTCAATGAACATTGTCTATTGAAATAAATGAAAAAATTTGATTCATATGCAGCCTTTAAATAATTGTACTTTAAAGTTATCAGGCTTTTTTTTTTTGTAAAATGTTCTTTTATGTGTAAACTAAGGGCCTTAGACTATGAAAATTATATTTTTATAATTTAGCAATAAGCATCTTTCATAATTATTTCATAAATAGGCCAGCAGTTTTTCATATGATTGGTAAATATTGAAGAATGTTATTTTATTAATAAAGTTTCTCTATATGCCTGTTTTGTATAAATTGTTTTGTTCTGAAAAAAATTTTATTCACAATGAGTAGATTATATTGCTAAAGCACTTAGGATCTCAGAAAACTCAGCTAAGTTTATTAGCACACATTTTTGTGTCACTTTGTATAAAATTGTAACTTCTTTTACCATCTGTCCTTTGTATTATTACATTTTAGACTGTATTACATTTTAGAATGTACCTGAGAAATTAAGTAGTTTGGATTTATATTGTCCTTGTGCTTAATGTAATTTTATTTACTTACCTAAGACATGGTAATAGAATACAATAGATTATGGGTTTTGACTTTGAAACGAATAAATTAAACTCTTCTGTTTAGGTCATTGAGTTGGAAAATCGGCTAAAATCTTTTGAGAAAAGGTCGGGAAAATTAAAAGAAGGGAATAAAAAATTGATAAAAGAAAATGATTTCCTGAAATCCCTCTTAAAACAGCAGCAAGAAGAGGCAGAGACCAGAGAAAAAGAGCTAGAACAACTACAAAAAGGGAGTAAAGATGTAGTAAAAAACAAAGCTGAACTTCAAGTAAAAATCAGTGAGCTCGAGAGAGAAGTCACTTCCCTAAGGAGACAAGTGGCAGAAACTAATGTGTTGAAAAATAAAAAAGAAGAGCCGATGAATTCAATGGAGAAATTGCAGCACTCAGTAGACGAAGCTAAATCTGAGATGGACACCACAGAAGTAAGATCTGGGCAATATGATTGTAAAACAACCACTACCAAGGTTAAATATAAAGCCCCCAAGAAGAAGTGCTCTGTGGGTCGTTACCACACTGTTCTCAATCACTCCATCAAGGTTATGAGCAATGTGTTTGAGAACCTCAGCAAGGACAAGGACTGGGAGGATGTGAGTGAAAGCAGGTAAGACTCTCATTAGCTTAGCTCTGTGGTGGGGACACTGTGCATATGTAAAGCACCAGCAAATGGAGATTGAATTTAAACTACTGTCGATTTGGTATTCAGAAAAAATACTGTCAGATCCTTTGAAATATCTTGGGAGGTCTTGTTCTGAGCTTATTGACTAAAATTTGCATGCAAAATTAGCCACAACTGCATGAGTATTTGAATAGGTGCCAGGAAACCCAAAAGAAGGCAATGCTTGATTTCTTCCAGTGATGCTATTTTCATGCAGTCATGAGGCTTGAAATTGACAGTTTGGCAGGTTGATTTAATTTGCTGGCCCTTTGCATATTCACACTGACAGCTAAGGATTCCCAGGCAAGCCTACTAAGTCGGTTTAGTTATCTTGTGACATGCCAACCTGGGAGGAGAAACATTTTCCCCCTTAATTTAGTTAGATAAATTTTGAATGACCCATTTCAGCTTGTTACCAGATGTCTACAAGCTGTTTAACATCCTTTAAATTAAGAACCATCTTCACTAATTATTTCATGTATGTATTATGCAAAGTCATTGTACTAACTTTAATTGAATGATGGTTAAAATTTAGTTCTTTAAAGTTATAGCTCTGCAGATTCCTAGTCTTAAATTATACAACTCCTAGTGAGTAGCAACAGGAGAATACTAAAAATCTATAATAATTTCCCTTATCTTTGGCTATACATTCATATGTGCACTTGAAGCACAACAGTAACCACAAAGATAAATGGATAATAGACACCTCTTTGAGAAGTTAATGTTGTCAGAATTGTTAATAGACAAATTAAACAATTTTCCATAATTCTGATTCCAGATGAAATGGGGTCCTCTTCCCCACTGGCTGTTGCTGGGGGTGAAGTTCTTATGATATCCAGAGAAAAAGAATTTTCTGAAACTCATATGGGAGAACGAGTGATTTTTAATTAATTAATTCCATAGGCTTCTAAAGTCCCATTTCCCTTCCTTTGTCCAGTCATAGAAGTATAGTTGGGGTTTCAGTTAAGCTAAAATCAAAGCCAGCATCCAGAGTTTCCTTTCCAGTTTAGCATCAGACCAGTTGCAATCTGTTGGTCCATTATGTATGGGGTCCATATGGCCATGGGTGAATGGAGGGAAGCAGGAACAAAAGAGCCCCATAAGGCCAGAGTCATACAAGGCCCAAGTGTGACTGACAGCAGGCACCTTCCCTGGTCATCCCAGCTTTACTGGGCATGCGTCAATCATCCCTTTGTTGGACCCCTGCAGAATGTAAAGTTGTAGCTTTCTGATGAAACTGTCTGAATGACATGCTTGTAATATCTGGCCTTTGCTCCTTTCTTGTTATTAATAACTAGCTAATTACAATGGTATCAATTTTGTCTTGTTTTATAATGGCATATATTTCCTTTTATTTTCCTAAGTATTTTTTTAAAATCCTGAATACTGGTATGTTTTAGATTTAGGATTGGGGGAGGAGGGGGATACAAAAAATATAACTTTATTTCTACTTTCTAAGTTCTTCTATCTGGGCTAACAATCAAATTAATATAGACAGATTAAAAGGAGAAAATATCCAAGATTTATTACTATGGTTGTACACGCGGGACATATCATAAGATATGAGACCTAAAAAGCATTGAACAAGTGAAGCTTATGTGCTATTTTGGACAAAGGAGAAGTGGGGCAGGGGTCTGTGATTCCAAAGGAAGTAGATGATTAACAGGTAGGAGAAAGAACAAACATATGGTCAACAAATTCTTGCTGGGCCATCCAGAAATAGTGGAACACAGAAGGAAACAGACTTTGCTAGATTTCTTCCTGTCTGTCACATATGTGCTAATTCATATGTTCTAAGGTGAATATGCTAAGGTGAATATGCTACGATTCTCTTCCTGAAGCAGGTTTTTCTATCTGAATTCCTTTAGGCATAACGGTGGAGGATCACAGGTTCTTTCTGAATCTTGTTTCTTAATAACCAGCTTAAAATCATTATCACAAAAGTCACATTTAGGGATGACAAAACTTTGGTCCCCTCAGGATGTCTCTAGGTAGTTTTCTTAAGCATAGACATAGAACTGAAACTTATCTTAAAATGTAGTTCTCAAACTTGTGTGCATATTAGAATCACTTGGGGATCTCATAAAAATTCCAAAAGCTCATATCACACCCCAGTACAATTCATTCTAACTTTTGGAGTGGGATACAAGCTTCAGTATGTTTGAAACTCTCTAGCCCAGTGGTCAGCAAACTCATTAGTCAACAGAGCCAAATATTAACAGTACAACGATTGAAATTTCTTTTGAGAGCCAAATTTTTTAAACTTAAACTATATAGGTAGGTGCATTGTTATTAACTTAATTAGGGTACTCCTAAGGCTTAGGAAGAGCCACACTCAAGGGGCCAAAGAGCCACATGTGGCTCGCGAGCCACAGTTTGCCGACCATGGCAGCCGATTCCAATATGCAGAGAAGTTTTGAAACCACTCTTTTAAAATGATCATTGGGTCAAGCCCTTTGTCATCAGGCAGGTTATGAAAGTACGGAAGAAGGACCAAATCTGCATTTCTATTCTTTGTGACCTCTTCTAAGGTTTTCCCCCCTGTTCTCAAAAAGCAGTTAGAGAAAAAATACCATTTATTTTAAAACCCACTAAACACTTATTTATGTCTTCAAGGAAATTCTAGTTTCAGCTACGAATTATATCTTATCCAGTTGGTACTACCACACTCTTCATAATATTGCAGTCTACTTTACTCATGTGTGAGTATGTATGTATGAATAGGTATATGAAAGTTACATAATACACTCAATTCTAATTTTATCATATTAATGCATGTGCAGAAGATCACATTTGGGGAGATATATCACACACTGTCTCTTAAAACATAGTGTTGTCATTTAAGTTATTGAGCAGTGAAACTCAATTTTATACTGTGAGGATTAGTGTTCCTTTTCTTGCCTGACAGAAAATCCTTAGGAATCATTCAGCTGCAAAGAATTCTTCAACAATTAGAATTCCCACAGTGGAGCCTGAGGACTTCAGAATATTCTATTTATTTTAGCTTTTCATAATCTGGAATATAAGAAATTTACTTAGATACTTAGAAAAATAGAACTTTATCCTTTATATGTAAATGTATTATATAATTAGTACCTTATTAGTATTTATTTCCTATAGCTGCTTAGTATTATAAGTGTATGCTGTCAAATGACAAAAATAATACAATTTAGTAATGAGTTTAAAGTCCTTTATTCAGGGGACAACACCCATGAATTAGTGGGTTACTGAGCTTAACAATCAGTGGAGCACTCTTCCTGAGGGAATTTTGACAAGAGAGAGTTTTATAGAGCATTAGAAGAGGCAAGGAAGGAATAGGGAATGATTGGCTAGGAGGTTGAGTATTTCCTAATAAGGCTAGCACATCTTATTTTCCAAGGTAAGTTAAAACTGAGTTGAAGGATTGTGATTGGGGTAGGTTAGATTTCCTTGACAGTGAAGTGTGGGGTGGAAAAATTAATTTTCCTTTTACCATCCTAAATTCTTCCAGCTGGACTAGTAATCAGATTGACATGAGACAGATTAACAGGAGAAAATGTCTAAATGTTACATATGTACATACTAGGGTTCCATATGAATATGGGTGTTGTAGTTTGGGACTTCAAAGGGAATAAAGGTAGTTCACATGGAGATTGAAAAGCAAATGTTTGGTAAATAAATGTTTGCTGGGCCATCTTTAACAATGGGACACAGTGAGGGCTTTAATCAAACAGGCCTTGCTAGGCTCTTCCCTGTGTATCACACACTAATTCATATTAAACTACAGTTATCTATGATCATATCTTCCTTACTGGAGGAGGTTCTCTATGTACATTCTTTCAGGCAGAAAGAGGGAAGTTCTAACTTTTTTCCTGATTTTTTTTCTTCCTTGAAAATGACCAGCTTAAAATAATCAATATTCCAAAAGGCATATTTTGGGATGGAAAACTCTGTTTTCCCTTGGAGGCATTGCCCATAAGTGTGGCTAACTTAGGTTTAGATTTCTGACATGGGCCCTGCCACTGGGGCATCCTGCATTTTGTGGGTCCCAATATACAGATTACCTTTATCAATGTCCATTCAGTAATGGGTGATAATCAGGAGTTGTTAATACCTTAAATAAGAAAAACAAGTTTAGCAAATATATTAATCTAATTTGTGGATAATATGATATTGAAAGGGTTGAAAACTATTTTATAAAAGTGAATCAAAAACTCCAATATCTCAATAGACTAGGAAGATACAATTATACACAAGACTACAGGGTACTTTACTTAGCTATAAAATGCTATTTGCTCAACTATACATTGGGAAAAATATGGGAGTTGGCAACAGTGTACATAAAAATATTTTATGAGGCTTTGTTAAATCCTGTATGAGTCTATAGTACAATGTACATGCCAGAGAAGCTTACACAATTTTAGTCTGCACCTACCAGGAGTTTACTAAGTACTTCTCATAGTACACTTCGATTATGAAATTAATTCTGCACATAAAGCTTCATCAAAATAAGTTGGAGCACATTCAAGAGTGACCAGGGTGAGAAAGAATCTCAGAAGCATTCATATTGGAAAAATATGAAAAAGCTAGAGATGTCTCAAGCATCATATAACTGTGTTTAAATAGTAACAAGATTATCCATGTGGAAAAGGGATTGGATTTACTTGTATGTTCTGCTCAACCTCAGCACTTCTAAATCTTCTTTCCTTGCTTTATGTTTTCTCTTTAACACACTCTATTAACATACTATATATTTTACTTATTTTTATTTGTTACCTGCCTGCCCCCCGCCCCCCACCACTAGGATGAGAGTAGGATATTTATCTACTTTATTCACTTACTAATGCCCAAAAAGTACCTGGCATATAGTTGATGCTTAACAAGTATTTTATTGAATGATGAATGGCCCTAAGAAATGAAACTGGGATAAATGGGAGAAAGCCTCAGGGATTCACATTTTGTTCTAGAGTAAGGGGAAACATTGTTAGGAATGTTAAAACTTTCTGCCCTGGCTCAGAAAGCAGTGAGTATACCAATTCTGGAAGTGGTCAAACTGCTGCTGCCTAGAAACACTTAGTAGAAATACTATAGAAATGATGCTAGTTTGTATTTGATCCTAGATAATCGAATTTCTTGATGAGATTTTATAATTTTCTAAAATATATTTAGACTAATTTTCTTTCTTACCGCTGAAAACCAGTAAGTCCTCAAATTAAACTTCCAGGTTAAATGCAGCTTGTGCTATGATATTATTTGGTCTTGAACTTAAAAGAGGTACATTTAACAGCTCTTCTTGATTTTATGTTCCCCTATTATTCCCCAAAAGCAGTGATTCTGAAATACAGACCTCTCAAAATTTAGGAACAATTATTGTAGAAACATCCCAGAAAATAAGTCCTATAGAAGATGGAAGAGACCAGAAAGAAAGTGATCAAATAGAAGACAGCCACATGCAAGGAAAAAGAATAGTACAAACATATTCAAATACAGATGGCAAGACCCAAAAGGTATATACATATTTTTCTTAATTATAAGCTATGTTTTTAATTTTATATTATGCTTCATTACTTAAATCAAATTTTGTTGCCACTGATTTAATGTGAATCCTTAAAAATGAACTTTTCTTAGAAATATGCAGTGCAGATACACACTTCTTAATAATTTCAACTCCAATTTGTTACTATTTTTTGTATAGATAAACTGGAAATAGGTATTATCCTCCTAAATATAAATCTTAAGGTATTTATATCTCATCCCAAAATTAAAAGTGGTATTATTTTCAGGTATATACCACATGTAGAAAATTATGTATTTTATTAGCCTTTGTGATGATAGTTATTTAGTTTAACTAAATATATGAATTTCTAGAATTTACCTCATTTTCCAAAGTGTTTTAAATCTTAAAATATTAATGTTCCAAAAAATTAGTATTTCAAACAACTTATTAGTTCTCACTATGGATACATCATGTCACCAAAAGGTTTATGTATTCAGCATAAATCAGTGAAAAACAGGAAAAATAATTTTGCTGTAAAAATATCATCTTTTAATTAACCTATATGGTTCTTTTAAAATTAGATCCAAAAGTGTTTATTTTTTGAGGTCTCATAAGAACTTTGGAAGAAAAAGTTCAAGGATAACAAAAGTTTCTTTTAGTTACCACCAGAATAAAGTTCAGATGAAGCATTATATGCTGTGTCTGCTGATTCATTGATTGATTGGTAAATAGATAAATTTTATAGAAATCTCTATAAAATCTATTTTGCCACATATTATTCAGGTGGGAATTTTGTTTAGTTGCAGTCATTTATGTATAGCACAATGAGTTTGTAAATAAAAGTAACTCATAGTCAATTCATATAATAATAATATAGTATGAACTACTCTGAATAAATTTATATACATTGCTTGTAGTCAGAAAACAAATGTTGACCAAATTGTAGCAATTGTGATTTGAAAATATTAGAACTTCTCTATAACCCCAAAGATAACCATTATTTTAACTTTAATTTAATCCCTAACTGCTTTATTTTATCGTTCTATTATGGTTAATTTTATCTATTTTTGAATTTTATAGATTCTGTATAGTATATCTTCTTTTATGTCTGGCTTCTTTTGTTCAATATTGGGTGGAGTTCATTCACTTTTATTGTTGTATATTATACTTCATTGTCTGACTATACTTCATTTTATCCATTCTGCTAAATTTGGGGTTGCTTCAGTTTGGGTTTCTTGCAAATAATATTGCAATGAATATTCTTGTACATGTATTCTATTGCATAAGTGTGGGCATTTCTGTAATGAAATACTAGGCATGAAATTACTACACCATAGATTGTGTTTTTCTAAGATTTTAATTGATAATGGTATTTTCCAAGTGTTACACCAATTTGTTATATCTACTAGCAGATTCTGAAAAATTTTACTGCTCCTCATCAACACTTGGTATGTTGGTATTTCTCATCTTAGGCACTTTTATATGTACGTTAAGGTATATCATTGTGGGTTTATGTTTTCGTAATTACTGATGATATGTTAAGTACTTTCTCATGACTATTGACCATAAGGGTTTTTTTTAGTAAATTGCCTTTTCAATTCTCTGCCCATTTTTAAAATGAGTTGTCTGTTTTCTTCTTATTTATTTGTAGAAGTTCTTATATATGCTATATTGGAGCCTTTGGTTGGTTATACATATTGAAAATGTCTTGCTGTAGTTTTTGAGGAACAGAACATTTTCCTAAATTTAATTTAATTTAATTTAATTCATCACCATTTATTCCCTCTATGCCCTCTTCCACCTTCCCCACCCCCCACAATCACCACACTGTTGTCCATGTCTGTGAGTTCGCTCTCTCTTTTTTTTCTTTTTTGCTCAATACCTCCCCCCACACCCCAACAATTCCCCTTCCCACCAGACCTGTCTGCTTGGTCTCTATGAGTCAAGGAAGAAAACATCTTAATTCTAATGTCATCAGTATTAGAAAATAAAATAATCCAGTTAGAAAATGGGCAAACAATAAGAACAGACATTTCACCAAAAAAGATAAATGGATGACAAGCATATATATATATGTATGCATATGTACTTGTGTGTGTGTGTGTGTGTGTGTGTGTGTGTGTGTGTGTATATATATATATATATTCAACATTATTAACAATTAGGGAAATGCAGATTAAGACCCTGATAAATCCTCGCTGTGTGGCTTAGTTGGTTGGAGCATTGTCCCATACACCAAAAAGTTGTGGGTTTGATTCCTGGCAGGTCATATACCTAGGTTACAGGTTGGCTCTCAGGACATGGCTGGTACTGAAGGAAACCAGTCTCAATGATGTTTCCCTCTCATATCTCTCTCTCTCTCTCTCTCTCTCTCTCTCTCTCTCTCTCTCTCCCTCCCTCCCTCCCTCCCTCTCTATAAAACAAAGTACCCATCAGTACATGAGTGATAAAAAAAGCTGTGGTACATTTACACCATAGAATACTATGCAGCAGTAAAAAAGAATTATCTCTTACCATTTGAGACAGCATGAAGGGACCTGGAGAATATTATGCTAAGGGGTACGGGCTAGAAGGGGTTCATGGGAAAAAATGGGCGACATCTGTAATACTTTCAACAATAAAGATTTTTTAAAAATAAAATCAATAAAGCATGTTCTCAGGTGAGGATACACATCTACTAGAATAGCTAAAATAAAAAATAGTGAATATACCAAATACTGGCAAGGATGTAGTGAAACTGGATCTCTCATACATTTCTGTGTGACTATAAAGTGGTACAGCACTCTGAGAAATAGTGGGCAGTTTCTTCAAAAAAGTAATCATATACTTTCATACAAACCAGCTATCTCACACTTGAGACTTATTCTACAAAAATGAAAGTTTATGTTTACAAAAAAAAAAACCTATACATGAATGATCATAACAGTTTTATTTGTAAAAAGCAAAAACTGGCAACCACTAAAACTTTCTTCATTAGCTGAATTGTTAAACTGTGATGCATCCATTCCGTGGACTACTGCTCAGCATTAAAAAGTACAATTGTTACACAATGTCTTAGCTTTGTTACCTCAAAGTTATCAGTTTGAGTTTGGACCTAGGCTTTTTTTTTCCCTGTCTGTGTTGCTATTTAAATAGAATTTCAAGGTCACAAGGGATTATCAGTTGTTCTGTATTTTGTTGTTTCTTGATTCCTGCTTTACTTCATTTTTGGCCTTAGAATTTCTCTTATTATTTACCAATATTACACAGATACTTTAACTGTGTTTGTTTCAAAGTATGAAATTTTTTCTGAAGTCCTTTTTTATTTTAGTTCTAGTTAATTTGATAATAAGTCTAGTGACTAATATTTAAATTTGATAATAATGTTTTGGATCTTTTTACAATGCTCAATAATAGCACTTAAATACTAATTGAATCTTAGTAAAGCAGTGAAACTTTTAAAAAATAACATTTTACATATTGTTTATGAGGACAAGTTCAAATAAGACATTTCAAAAATATTTTGAGAGATGACATATAGTTTAAAGGAAAATAATTACTTCAAAGGAAAATAACCCTTAGATAGGGGTTTTTGGTATTTGTGTTAACAAATGAGTTTAATTACTTTAGAACCATTCCTTGTATATAATATAATATTATTTATGCATTGTCAAAGTAACATTGGGCCAAATTTACTTTTTCTTTTAATTTTTACTATAATTATTTATTTGTTCCTGAGTTGGGATCTTTGAAAAATAATTTTTTTAAAAGAAGTAGTTTAGATTAGTCTAGATCCATGGTCGGCAAACTGTGGCTCACGAGCCACATGCAGCTCTTTGGTCCCTTGAGTGTGGCTCTTCCTAAGCCTTAGGAGTACTCTAATTAAGTTAATAACAATGTACCTACCTATATAGTTTAAGTTTAAAAAATTTGGCTCTCAAAAGAAATTTCAATCATTGTACTGTTGATATTTGGCTCTGTTGACTAATGAGTTTGCCGACCACTGGTCTAGATTAATATTGCTCCTTTCCCCAGCCAATAAAGTCTTAAACAAGACCTCATATTTTATTATTAGGATTTATAATATTTGAAACAGTCTATTTAAAATTTTGCTTTGGGGAAGCTTTTTTAAACTGTTGAGATATTTTGGAACAAAAGTCAACATAGCTTTATTTTATTTAACTTTAGTGTATTGAAATGTCATGAGGAAAACATGCAGCTTCAAGAAAACTTGCTTTATGATCATCAACATTATTTTAGCTTCATTTGCCAGAAGGAGTTCATCAGTCAGAAAACAGTATTTGAGAAAAGGAACCTAGATTCCCAGAGAATAAGTTATTAAATATTTTATTTTTGTTGCTTTTTCTGTATTTCCCCCTAGGTTTACAAATGGTCCCTAGGTTAAATTACTAGTACTACTTTGTGGTTGACTTTTGTATTTGTATCTTCTGCCCTCTAGGGCAGTTTTAGTGTACGCATTATGTTCATTTATGAGTTCTGTTATCAATTATAGAATTTTATTGTCTAGGCTTTTAACTGCAAAAACAAATATATTTTCAAGTAAAGAAATAATATTTATCATGTTAGCTCACTTGATATTTTTGAGTAACAATCTAATTTCTATGAAACCTTCAAATTTAGGATTATTTTCATTACAAGAATGCCAAAAGGCCAACTTTTCAAAAGAAGAATGGTAATATTCAAAAGAGTTCACATACAACAGGTCCTACCAGAGGTAAGAATGCATATGTAATTAATAGTGTCTTTGTGATTTAATGTGATTTAAAAATATTATGAACAACATTATTTATATAACAGTTGTATTTTCTCAGTTAACAGAGAAAAATTAAAAAATATATCTGCCCAGAAATCAAGTAGCAATATTATTTTATTACGAGGAAGAATTATATCCTTGCAGCAACAAAACAGTGTTCTTCAGAATGCCAAAAAAACAGCAGAATTGTCTATTAAAGAATATAAAGAAGTCAATGAAAAGCTCCTTCAGCAGCAGCAAGTATCTGATCAACGATTTCAGACAAACAGACAGACAATAAAGGTAATAGGAAATAAATTATAATAGAATATATTATTAAAGTATATATTTCCTTTTACATGTTTTGTTTGGTTCATATTTGTGTTAGACATATCTATGAGTTAAAAAAATTTTCTAGGCACTACTAACTAATATAATTAGTTTAATACCTAGATTTCTTGAATAAATTCATAGTAAGGAACAACCTTTATCAGGAAGACAACTCCAAATAAAAAAGACAAATATTTTACTAGCATTCCTTTTGACGTCTATCATTTTTATATATTCTTTGCATTATACCTTAGATTTTAAATGCAGGCTATATAAATGCATATAGCTTGCCCATTTGCCCATGTATAAAAGTTTGAATTTATCATTATAAATTATACTAGAGGCCCAGTGCACAAAAATTTGTGCACTCAGGGGGCAGGGGGTCCCTCAGCCCGGCCTGTGCCCTCTCGCAGTCTGGGACCCCTTGGGGATGTCCACCTGCTGGCTTAGGCCCGCTCCCTGGGGGATCAAGCCTAAGCTGACAGTCAGACATCCCTCTGGCAGCCCGGGAGCCCTTGGGGGATGTCCACTTGCCAGTGGGGAGCAGGCCTAAGCTGCAGTTGAGCATCCTTAGCGCTGCTGAGGAGGCGGGAGAGGCTCCTGCCACCACTGCTGTGCTGGCAGCTGTCAGGCTGGCTTGTGGCTGAGCAGAGCTCCCCCTGTGGGAGCGCACTGACCACCAGGGGGCATCTCCTGCATTGAGTGTCTGCCCCCTGGTGGTCAGTGTGTGTCATAGTGACCAGTCATTCCCAGTGGTTCTGCTGTTAGGGTCAACTTGCATATTACCCTTTTATTATATAGGATTGTTAACTGGCAATTGCCTCAGTTCCTATTTTCAAATACTAGTTTAAACATATATTAATATGTTCTTATAACTTATTTGTGATTCTTTTATTTAGGTGAATTGAGTTTTCTGTAACAATTTTTAGATATATTATACATTATTGCTGGTTATCATATTTAATCTTAGAGCAAATGAAAAAGAAAAGATTGTTTCTTAAGTCTCCATTCCTAAAGGCATTTGTTTGTATAAGGAATGAATTTTGGAAATTTGTTGTTAGACAGAAGGATTCTTTCACACATTTTAGAAAATAATTTTTAAATCACAATCACAAAATGTTTAAATTATACTTAGATTCTCTACTTCTAACATCTAATGCTTTAATTCAAGCAATACTCAGGAATGTTTTAACTATAAAGGACTTAATATTATACTTGTATACCAATAACAGGTGTTTTGGCTTTATTTCAAAGTAGCCGTATATCCTAACTTGATCTATGTTCTTTATATATATGTTGGTTAATAATGACATTCAATTAATCCATATCCTTGCTGATTTTCTATCATCTATTATTGAAAGTGAAGTGTTGAAATCACCCATTATTTCTTGTAATAACATCAGTGAGACATAATTTACATACCATACAATTCTCTCAGTTAATTCAGCGGTTATTACAATATTGAAAAATTTGTGTGACAATCACCAAAATCAATTTTGAACATTTTTATAACTTCAAATATAGACCCTCTACCCATTAGCTATCATTCTTCCATTCCACCATCTCTCTTAGCCCTGAGCAACCACTAATCTATATTCTGTCTATGTGGTTTTACCTCGTCTAGATATTTCATATACATGGAGTCATGCAATACGTGACTTTTGTGTCTGGCTTCATTCATTTAGCATTATATTTTCAAAGTTTTCCATGTTGTATAATGTAGGAATTTGAAAATGTACTCCTCCATAAAAGCAATAAAAACAGGCAAAAATAGTTAGAGTCAACATTTTCATAGCATTGGGTATAGAATCTAGTCTTCTAAGTGTTGATGTAATATTTAAGGCAATTAATTGATGACTCAAAGTTACAAGTTTCTAAGACATGGATTTCTTATAAAATGATTGAAGATCAAATAAAAGTATTTTACATGAAAACGATAAAGCATTTTATTGAGACTTTGTGAACGTTGAGGAACACTTACATTCCTCTCTAAAACTAGAAATTATCCAAGAACTTGCAACAATCTGGGGAGAGTTTATTAAAAACAAACAAATAAACAAACAAACAAAAACTCAACTACAAACAGGAAACTTTGTGGCATTTTAATTTGCCTTAGTTCCATCCCCACTCTCCCAGCTCAGCAGCAACCTGGCAACTTCCAAAAGAAACCTAATGGAGCTGGAGCACTTTCAAAGCTCTGTTCCCAAATAATTGTCATCATTTGACCTGTCTGATGGTTCCTCGATAGCCCGCTGTAAAGAGATGACTGGGATTGCTTTCAGTGTGAACTGTCTTTTTCCTGGGGGAGAAGAGTGAGCAGTGGGGAGGACATGGTGTTATCAAAAACTATTACAGGCAATTGTTTAAACTCTAGTTGGCCTGAGAGGATGGATTCTAGTTTAGGTCAAGCAATATATTAATAAATAGCTTAAAAGGAAAATCTGTGGAATGAGATATTCATAAGAGTTTTGAATGGCTCTGACACGTTCCTGGGAATCTGGAGGACACATGCCCATTAGTTAAGGAATGGGTAAATAAATTCTGATATATGCATACAAGGAAATATTGTGAAAACACAAGAGAATAATGAAGTATTGATATATGTTACAATATGGATGAACATTAAAAACATTAAATCTAGTGAAAGAAGCAAGTCACAGAAGAGTACATATTATGTGATTCAATTTATGTGAAATACCCAGAATAGACACAGAAAGAGAGAGAAAGTAGATTACTAAATGCTATGAACTGGGAAGGATAGAGGAGTATAGGAGTTATTGCTAAAGTGTAAGGTTTCTTTTAAAAGTGATGAAAATGTTCTGAAATTGATTATGGTCATATTTGAATATATTTGTGAATATACTAAAAACATTGACTTGTACACGTTAAATGAGTGAATAGTGTGGAATGTGAATTTATATCTCAGTAAAACATTTTTTAAATATTGGTTTTAAGTAGGAAAATAAAAGACAAGTAGTAGTACTATATGAATTTTGCTGATAATTCATCAGTAACAATAATGTAATAAAAATTATTATTCAAATTAATAAAGCCTGCTGCTGAGATAAAAGTTTATTAGGTAAATGTTATGGTGAATTGTAAGAGCCATGTAACATTTTTAGGTATGTAAGTAATATACGATTGCATGAAACATTTCAATTATTATTAAACTTGACAAAGTAAATATGTTTAAGGTTAATTGTCTTAAAATTAGTTTCTAATTAAAACAATGTTTGTTCTTTTCCTTACATATTCAATTCTCTATTGTAAAAATGAATAGGGAATATATTAAGGCTAACAGTATTGACTACCTTTTCCACTTTGAATGCTCAGTTCTTTGACTTAAGAGAGTTACTCATATTTCACCTGAAACATTTGGAAAATGAGTCCTAATCTTAAGAATAGCAAGATGAAATATCAACCTTTTTTGTTCTGATAATACTACTTAAGTGTATTATGACCATGGAAACTCCTTTATAGTCACATCTGTGTCACCATACAGATGTAAACAGCATTGACTCACAGAGGCAAACTACCAGAATCCATATTAAAAAGGAAAATGAAGCTTGCCCATAAGTGCACCTTTTAGAATTTCTTTTGAATGTTTTAAGTAGCAAGTAATTATATACATATATCAACTGATAGATAACAAATGTAAATATTTGTGAAATTTTACATACTGTAATACTTCTTCTCTAAAAAGCTCTCTCCTGAAATACTGTGTTTAGAAAAACAGAATAATCCTTATGATTCATTTATATGAGCTGTGTTATTCTCTGTGTTTATTTAAATAACAAAATGGATTTCAAGAGATATATTATCATTATGGATTGAATTATCCCCACCCCAATCATATATTGAAGTCTTAGTCCCCAGTGTTATAGCATTTGGAGAGGGATTTGGGGGGAGGTGGTTAGGTTTAGGTAAGGTTATAAGGAAGGGGGTCCTCATGATGGGCTTTGTGCCCTTACAGCGGTTCTCAACCTGTGGGTCGCGAAGAATGAAAATACATCCTGCATATCAGATATTTACATTACGATTCATAACAGTAGCAACATTACAGTTATGAAGTAGCAACGAAAATAATTTTGTGGTTGGGGTCACCACAACATGAGGAACTGTATTAACGGGTCGCGGCATTAGGAAGGTTGAGAACCACTGCATAAGATGAGAAGAGACACCAGAGCTCCCTCTCTCTCTCCACCGTGGGGGGACAGAGTGAGAAAGTAACTGTCTGCAAGCCAGAAAGAGAACTCTCATCAGAACTGGACCATGCTGGCATTGTGATCTCATAGTTCCTGTCTCCAGAATTGTAAGAAATTATTGTGTTTTTTAAAGCACCCGGCACATGAAATTCATGCACGGGTGCAGTCCCTAGACCTAGCCTGCAATCAGGGCCATCTTCCCTGGCTACAGGCAGCTTGCCCCGCCCCCACCCCCACCACCCACCCGGGTTCCCAGTTTGCCATCAGGCAATTGGAGCCTGATGGCCAGGGTAAGGGACCAAGAGGTCAGTCATTCCACCCACTCGCCAGCCCCAGCCCCGACGTGGGTCACCCTCTGTGTGTGGGGTGACCGGCGGGGTGGGAGCTTTGGTCTGGCACCGCCTGCATCCCCTGCCATCCACCCCCGGGTCCCCATTCGCCATTGGGTGATCAGAGCCTCCAGCCAGGGGAAGGGACCAAGAGGTCAGCGTTCTGCCCGCTCACCAGCCCCAACCCCTGTCACTACCTACCCCGGTTCCCAGTTTGCCATCAGGAGATCGGAGCCTGATGGCCGGGGAAAGGGACCAAGAGGTGGTCAGTGCACCTCATAGTGACTGGTTGAGTGGTTGTTCTGGTCGTTCTGCTGTTTTGGTCTCTGGGCTTTTTATTATATAGGACTAGAGGCCTGGTGCACAAAATTCCTGCACGGGGTTGCGGGGGTCCCTCAGCCCAGCCTGCACCCTCTCCAATCCGGGACCCTTTGGAGGA